GCCTTCCCCCTTACAGGTCTCTGGCCCTCACTGTGGCGCTCAGCTTTTCTTCCCTCTTTCTCATGGACCACTTCTTCCAACCTTTGCCCGCTCTCGTCCTTGTTCAGTTTTTCCATCCCGCTTCACCTTTTTCTCCTCCCCCTCTCTCCTCTTCTTTCCATCTCTTCCTGTTCTCTTCACCCCCTCCTCCTTTCCTTACTGGCCCTCCCACCCACTTCTCTCTCCTCCTCTCTCTAAAACCTCTTCCCCTCCTTTCTGCATGAGCCAGCGCTCCCACTTCTGCATGGACACAGGCCTGATGCTTTTGGCTTGGCCTTACTGATAGGAACATGGTCTGGGGTGAATAGATGAACGTTCGGGCTCCCCGTGGACACACAGGCCTTTGCAGTGAGTGTGCTTGGTGAGGGCGGGGACAGCCCGGCTCTCCAGCCACCCTGGCCGGACCACCCTGGCCACACCACCCCGGCGGCTGGGCCAGGGTCTCAGCAGGAGCCAGGCTGTGCTTTGCATGGGCCCACCAGGCTCACGACAAAGAGTGGTGCCCAACACCTGCTGCCGTGTCCACTCTTGAGTGTGGTACTCTCTGGGGACATGGCACCCCCTCTGACCTCATCCCGAATCTCTGATCCTAGGACCCATGGCCAAGAGTCAGAAGCCCTGGGCATGGTCCTGGCTCTGCCTGTGACCCCCTCTGTGACCCTGGGCAAGTCTCTTGATTACTTAGAGCTCAATTTCCTAATGTGGAAAAGGGAGACTTCATAGCCCTGCCACGTGTATTTTGCATGGTGGCTTGACGTGCCCCAATATGGTGGACCCTTCATCAAGGGTCCCCTTGCTCTCTTTGAGGGTGATGCCCACTAACGTCTGCCCATTGGCTGTTAGCTCTGGGGAGGGTGTTGCCTCATAGTTTTCCCTGTGCCTCTGAGCCTGGAGGCCCAGGTGAGGGAGAAGGTTGTGCTCAGGTTTGCCCCACGCCATGGCCCTGAGCAGTTCCGGGAACAGGCGTAGGGGGTAGTGGGGATTGTTGACTCCTCACGGCAGTATCTGGTGTTTGCCCAGACCCTCCTCTTCCCAGTCCATGGGAAATGGGGAGATGGCTCTAGCAGAATGCCCCTGTCCGCCTCCTCTCCCTCCCTTCACCCTTTCTCGGCCCAGTGGTGGGGAGTGCAGTGTTCAGTTGGACCTGGGGGGCTGGGGCAGGTCTGGGGCGGTGGGCCTGTCCCGAGGGGAGCTGGCATGGCTTGCCCTGGGGCTGCTAGTGTGATCGCCGTGTGGCTTTCTGGTGCCCTGGCCCAGCAGGTGGCCTCTTGGAGACCCTGGCTTTCGGAGCCCCAGGCATGCTGTTGGACACCCAGCCCCGTCGCCTGGAGCTGAGGAATCCAGGCTTTTGGAAATCAGAAGTCTGGAAAGAAGAGCTGGGTCTGTGGGGGTGGACACAGCCAGTCTGGGGGCGTGTAGGGGAGGTGTGTGATAAAGCCTGACACCAGGGCATTTGTCCAGGGCACTCGGGCGGTGGGCGCCTGTGCTCTGCCCAAGTGGGTGCATTGATGTATGCTGGGGCTGCAACCCCCAGAAGTGCAGTGAGTGTGTGTGTGTGTGTGTATGTGTGTGTGTGTGGTGAAGGGGATTCATTGCCTCAGGTCCAGCACACTTGAGGGGAGCCTTGGAACCAGCTGTTCCCTCAAACACAGCACCACCCTGGGGAATGCAGTGAGGACCCGCAGGAAATGGGGCTGTTTGGCACCCTGCTTTTCACATCTGGTGGTCTGTGTACAGGCCCTGAGGTGACTGCCATCCTCCAGGCGGTGGGGAAGGCCCAGTGCCTACTTGTGTGAGCAGCCTTCAGAGGACACAAAGCGCTTCTGAATGTTATTATCCGAAAGGCCACTTCCTTGCTATGAGGGCGTCTCCCTCCTCATGCTCCTGGGGCTAGAAGGAAGACATTCCAGAGGCCCTCAACCCCGCTCTTTCCACCTTTCTTCACAAGCTTCCTCCAGCCCCACGGTCTCCTGCTGGGGTAGAGGTTCTGAGGGCGACCCGGATCCACTGCCGTTCCTGCGGGTGAAGGCTGTGTGTGTGTGTGCGTGCATGTGTCCATGTATGTGTGTGTGTGTGCATGAGTGCGTGCAGGGAGTGGACCACATGGAACAGGGGCCTTGACAGAGACAGGGAAACGGGCCAAGAGACCGAGAAAGTCCTGGGGTTGAGGGTGGTGGTGGTGGGGAGGTGGGTGGCGGGGAGTAAGCCTATTTTTACGATCGGTCAGTCTCTGGGACATGAGGGAGGGGTGTTCTCTCTCTCTGACACTGGCTGTTAGCTTGTGTCCAGCCATCCCAGCTTGGCCGAGGAACAATAGGGCTCTCTTCCCTCCCCCCGCCGCCCCAGCCATGCCCTGTCTCCCCTCCCGTAGAGAAGGACAAGAGAGATGGGACATGGCTCTCCAGCACTCTGGGGCATATCTGGGCCTGCCAAAGGGGACAACAGTGATATACTGTGTTCAAAGAATGTGAGAGGCTCTGACTGGCCACTGGTGCCATGGGGCCCGCTGCGGGGGGAGAGGCTGTCTCCGTGGGAGTGGAATGTGGGGTCTTCCCCCTTCTGCAGGGTCTAGCTCTTTGGGGGTCATCCTGTCCGTCCCCTTGCCTCAGGACTTGAGGAGGTGTGATCGTTCTCAGGTGGCTGACTGGGCCAGGATCTTGCATCCTCCGCCGTGGGAAGCCCCTCGCGAGCAGTCCGACTCCTCTGGGCCACTGCAACTGTCTGCAGCACCTGAACATAGAGGATGCTCTATGGGCACACCGGGGAGCATTTTCTCCGTCCCTCTGGGAGATTTAGGGCCTCGAATTGAAACAGACCCACTTTTCAAGGGCAGACATCAGATCCCCAACCAGGGAAACTGGCCACCCCTGGCAAAGGCACAGGGATCTGCCAGAAAGAGGCTGCGGGGCTGGGTGAGCCGGAACTGAAACCAGCCCTAATGCATTTCTTTTAACCTTGGAGCTGAACTTAGTTCCAAACCCCAAGAGCCTTTCCCAAATGGGCCTCCTTTGTCACAATTATTATTAGAAAATCAATGGCTATGTTTGTTTCTTTCTAATGTTTTTGCCAGGAATGAAACGCGCGGCAGCTCTGAACCAGGCTGCCCAGGAGGCCTGGGGAGGAAGGGGCTCGGTGGAGGTGGGAGAAGCGGGGCAAAGGCAGGAAGCCCCTGCAGGCGTGGTGTGGTGCTTGGGGGCTGCCACCTCTCTGATGGCTGGGAGCCTGGGGTAGCTGCACCCTGGGGTCCTGGGCACTGCTCAGCCCTGGGAGAGCCTGCCTGCGTCTTTAATCCGGGTTGATGGTTGTAACAGACCCTTGTTAGGACTATGTGACCCCCATTTTTCTATTTGGAAAATAAGGGCACTTTAAGAGGAGGGCTTATTTGCTTTAAGTCAAGCAGTTCGTGAGTCTGGTTCAGTCCCCATCCGGGGTTCTTTTCTCTTGGTTGAGATAGCAGGCAGGCTGCCTCTGAGTCAGAGAGATCCCAAAGTGGAGGCTTGAAACCGCACCCTACCTGGGTCCTCTGCCTTTGTAAAAGCTACACTAGTCCTGCTGCTGTCCGGATGGGGTCCCCGGTTACGTGATCGGATGAGTGCGTGTTGAGTGCCTGTGTGTGTGTGTGTGTGTGTGTGTGTGTGTGTGTGTGTGTGTGAGCGTGAGAGAGTGTGTGTCCGTCCCTAGTTTGGCATTGGCAGCCTACTGTTCATGACAAGTTAGGAAGGCTTCCCAGCATGTGATTTTTCACGGCAGCCTTAGTGGCTGTACCAGGCTGGAGCGGGGGTGGGCGGCGGGGCACGCAGACCCCACTGTGGAGGGCAGATGATTCAGTCTGGAGGAGGGCTGCGCTGGCACGTCCCGAGGGGACCGGTGGTGTACGCGCGTGCATGCGTCTCTGTGTGCAGTGTGCCACGGGACCGTGTTCCCAGCTGTGTCGGCACGAGGCTGGCGCGGCTGGGGGCCCCCGTGCCCTGTGGTATGTCCTAGCACTTCCCCTCACTTAGCCTGCCCTCCCCGGGGTATGGTGAAGGCAGAGCTGAAAATGTCCTCGCACAAGATTAATGAAGACAAGAAGCTTGTCCTCAGGCTGGGTCTTGGCCTCTGCGACGTGGGGAGTAAGTTTTCTAGGATTCTGGAGCCAGCTCAGTGAGGCAATGGGTTCCGTGCCTCAGCCCAGCTGTGGGAAGACAGAGTGGGAGGGAAGGAGGGCGAGGCTAACAACATGCTTCGGCCTGTGGAATGGAAGGGGATACAGAAAAACAGATGGAGCCCATGACCTCAGGCCCTTTGCCTGCTGATCTGCGGGGAGGGGCACGGTGGGAAGCTGGACCATCTTTGGGGTGAGACAGGGGTGGGCAGATGAGGGGCCAGCATAAGGGCAGTTGCTAAGTGTTTTCAGAGGTGCCCAGGATGGAGGTTGGGGAACCCCAGAGAAGGCCAGCAATATTCTAGGGGCCAGCTGGGGCTGGGGACTTCATGATAAGACTTAGTCATTTCTTTGTTCCTTCTCGGGAGCACCATTTGCAAGATGATGCATTATGTGCTCTTTCCAAAGTTCTTCCCCATGGGCCTGATGTTGCTTGTTGGTTGATGTGGTCACCTTGGAGACTCTCTCGTCTTTCCACCTTCCCTCCTTTGCCTGGAAGCTCTGGCCCTCTGTCTCTAGGGTTTGAAAGGAGTTGACATCTGTTTCTCGTATCAGCCCTTTGTGCTTTGGGCCCCAACCCTGTGCAGGGTAGAGATTCCTGGTGAAGGCCAGCCCCACCTCACAGCAGATCCCCCACCCTGCAGAGAAAGCCTGCGGTGTGGGCAGAGGGAGGCAGTGGGGGAGTCTGGAAGGGAGACAGGCCCAGCTCCAGCGTGGCCCCTGGCTAAGATGCACCGCCTTCTCTGGGGAATTGGGCCTGATCGATCCTTTCTCGCCTAAAATGCTCACTGCCCTCTATGCCCTGAATTCCTCCCAGGGGTGCAGGCTCGGGAGAAGCAGCCTGCAGAGCCCCCAGCCCCTCTCCGGAGGCGGGCAGCCAGCGATGGACAGTATGAGAACCAGTCTCCAGAACCCGCATCCCCCCGTAGCCCTGGGGTTCGTTCCCCTGTCCAGTGCGTCTCCCCTGAGCTGGCTCTCACCATCGCCCTCAATCCTGGAGGGCGGCCCAAAGAGGTGAGTCCTTGGGCTGCATCCTATGGCCAGAGAGAGTAGTGGAGCCCCCCTGAACTATCCAGGAGTCAGATCGCCACCTGCGTGGCCCTGCCCTGTCAGGAAACTCAGTCCTCACCCTCTATCTCTTCTCTGGCACATGGAATCTGGCCTTTCCCTCCCTAAATAGCTTTTATGCCTCCATCTCTTAGATTAACACTGAGATTGAAGTTCCCTCCTTAATTCTTAAAGAGCCCCGCTTAGTGGGGTGGTAAGGGTCCTGCGTATGACACAGATGACCACAGTCTCTAAACTCCAAGCCAGATCATATAGATTGACAAGAATGGTTTTGAATTCTTTCTAGGTATAGGGTTTTCTTGGCAGATCTAACTTCAATGCCAAAATGTTTGCATTTCTGAGACCTGTCCGTAGTTGGGAGGCAGTAGATCTTAGACTTCGACGAGTATAAACAACCACTAGGGGGTTTGTTATAAACGTAGATTCCCAAGTCCGCCTCCAGAGATCCCAGCATATTAGATCTGGGACAGGGCCTGGGAAAATGCATTTTAAACGGCCATCCTGGAAGATTCTGGTATGAGTGACCCATGTCCGATAAAATGCAGGCTAGCGAGTTATTCTAGATATAAATGGCTTTTGGACATCTTTTCTCTTCTGCCTTCTGGCAGGACCCAAGTCCCCCGTCCCCAGCCCCTTCTCTTTGGCCCTGTTGGGGAATATTTCCAAGGCAAGTGCTCCTGATTTCCACCCATGTTGGACAGTGGATCTGCAAATAGCCGCTTTTCATTCGCTCAGTGACAAAGGAGTGGGTGTGTCTGTGAATGGCCAGGATCTCCCTTTGACCTTTGTGTTTCCCCCAAGGGGGGGGGCGGGGCTGGCAAGGGGACGTGTGGGCTGGTTACCTGGGAAACCCCTGCTCTTCAGGGTCACGGCCACCAGTGGGCACCCCCCCACCTCCTCTTCTTCTCCTGCAGCCCCATCTACACAGCTACAAGGAGGCCTTTGAGGAGATGGAGGGAACCTCCCCGACCAGCCCACCGCCCAGTGGGGGTAAGAGCTCCTCACTAAGCCTGTCTTCCCTGGGTGCCTGCAAGCTGTGCTCTCAGCCCTGGCCTGAGTAAGCACCCTGGGTTTGGGGGGAGGTCCTGGCAGAGCTGGGCAGGGCCAGGATCTGTCGCTCCTGGTCCAGATGGCTCATTTCACTTCACCATCCCTGCCCTACTCCTCTTCCTTCTGTTGTCCACATGCATACGTGTGGGGGTGCAGCAGCTACGGGCTTGGGATCCTACCGACCTTCTGTGGGGCCCCTGGACTCCCAAAGTCTGGAATCTTCCTAATCGTTGAGAGGTTTTGCATCTTGTGTACAAAACACCACCCCCGCCCCCATCCTAGAGTGACTCTTTGTGACCTGCTGGTGTATCTCTGAGATAACCCTTGGCCTTCTTGCTCCAGACCCCCATTTCTGTCTACATCCGGACTCGTCTTCCATTTCAGGCAACCTATTTAGTTTCCATCAGGGAAAGAAAGGCCCAGAACACTCAGCCTGTCAGAGTCCCCAGCTCATCCGTCCTTGGTCTCCAGGCAGGAACATTTAGTCTCTAGCCCCTGAGGCACTCACTGGAGAGGCAAAGCCCCAGAGGGCAGAGGCATTTCCACACAAAGAGAAGACCCAGATGAGTGCAGGGCTGGGGTAGTGTACCTTTTTATGGTAGAAGAGACAGGGGGAGCTGGAAAGGGGCAGCTGTGGGACAGCAGTGATGGAGCAGGACTGAGAAGGACTCAGGGTCCCGGTGGCAGGCGCCGGGGCAGCCGAGGAGGGAGAGCCCAGGGAGGGGAGGAGAGTGAGGACTGGAGACCAGAACTGGCGGTATGTTCTCCTGGGGGCTGGCTGTCCCGAGGGAAGAATGTGGCCCCAGAGCCCCACCCTGTGCAGCAGAACTTGTGTGGGCTGCCTCCTGGGGCATGTGGGGGGCCAAAGCTGGGAGTGGAAACCATGGTTCTCCCCATGGCAGTGTGGCCCAATGGAAATCTAGCCCAAATCACACTTGTGATGGAGCATTTTCTAGTGGCCGCACTGAAAAACATCATAGGAAACTGAAGAAGTAAATTGTAATATTTTTTATTTAACCCCAAATGTCGAAAATATTATCATTTCCATAGGTAGCTCAAGATAAAACTAATGAGGTATCTTACAATCTTTTTTTAAAAAAATTTTATTTAGATTCAATTAGCCAACATATAGTACATCATTAGTCTCAGATAGTCTCAGTAGTGTTCAAGGATTCATCAGTTGCCTATAACACCCAGTGCTCAATCTTTTTTTAAAACTGTAAAAAGAGGCTGGCGAAATTACTTTTAATGGGTTTTATTGGATTTGAAAGATCTATAATACTATCATTTCAACATGGAATCTGTATAAAGAGATACGTTGCATTCTTGTTTCATACCAAGTGTTTGAAATCCGGTGTGTGTGTTACACCTAGAGCGCATCTCAATTCTGATTGGCTCCACGGCAGGTACTCTCATGGCTACCATACTGGACGGTGCAAGCCCGGGGCGGTCTGCTGAAGAGGCAACTCCATGGCCTTTTTTTTAATTTTTTATTTTTTAAAGATTTTATTTATTTTTTTGATAGACAGAGAGAGAGAGCATAAGCAGGGGGAGTGGCAGAGGGAGAGGGAGAAGCAGAGCCCTACTGAGCAGAGAGCCGGATGTGGGGCCCGATCCCAGGACCCTGAGATCATGACCTGAGCCGAAGGCAGACGCTTAACCAACTGAGTCACCCAGGCACCCCGTCCGTGGCCTTTTGTGACTCCCTGGAATCGCTCTTCCTCCTGGGGGTGGTCTAAAGCATCCACCTTCACACCTGCTCCAATTCACTGTTGGTCCAATCAGCCAGGATCTTGGCCATCACCTCGTGTGGGATGGAAGCCACGTGAGCAGGGCTAGGGTCAGATTTTGCCATATGTGTCTGTTCCCATTCTTCTCTCCCTGCCTATGCCAGCCCTGCTGCCCCAGTGGGGAGAATAAGCAGAGATTTCATCAATGCACAGGGTTGGGAGAGAGGACAGAGGCGGAGAAATGCGAGGAATCCCTCTCTCAGAAAGCAAAAGCCTTGCTTGGCTTCGGGGCCGCCCACTCGTCTGCCTCAGCAGAAGAGCCAGATGCCTGTTGACGGGGGCATGAGGGACTAGGCAGCTGGAGGTGGGACCAGGAGAAACCTCCCCCTGCCTCTTCACCTTGGCTCCCTTCACCTTCCCTTCACCTTGGCTCACTGGTCCACCTGTACCTCTGCTGCCCCGCCTGGGCCAACACACGCACGCCCGTGGGCTGGAGATGTTTCGTGGGCATTCCATGGACAGTGGTGGTCTCTGAGGTTGGGCTCGTTCCTCCATAGTTAATTACATTCCAATTCGTTCATTTGACAAACATTAATAAGTGCTCGATAAGGGTCTATTGCAAGACACCATTTTCAGTAATGGGCAGGGGGGCTGGAGGGGGGCAGAAACTGAATCTGTGTATGTGTGTGTGTTTGTGTGTGTGTGTGTGTAAGGAGAGGGAGGGATAGAGACATGCAAGCCTAGACCTACCTCATTACTGGGCTGTGTGCATTTGCACACATTTGTCCCCTCTGCTGTTTGTCCACTGGGCATCTGAGGATGGTGTGAGGATGGAGTCTGCCCCCATCCCGACCCCTGTGATTTCTCACTGTTGCTGTGTGTCCCTGTGCATACACCCACATGTGCACAGATAAGTTGTGGATGTTGGTTACACTGAGAGATTGTAGCTTTTTGTTTCCTGCAGGTCTGTCTTTTGAGGAAAGGAGGAGGGGTCCGGGGGGGTCCTGGAGCTGCTGTGTGGGGGCCAGGTACCTGAGGGCCACAGCTGGTCTGTTGGGGCCGTTGGTGTGTGGCAGGCAGGCTTGGGCTCTGGAGGACCTGTGTGGCCGCCTGTCCTCAGGGCCCGTGGCCTCTGCACACTCCCAGTAGCCGTGGTAAGAGACACAGAGCTCAGTTCTTTGCTTCTTAGAGATGTGTTAGGAGACACAGCAGCTGCCACCGAGAAATCTCGTGACTGGGCCTGCCAGCCACCCTGCAGTCCAGCTCGGAGTCCGGCCACGTCCTTGGCTGGTGGGAAAAAGCCGGACAAGCCCTTTCTGACCTTGTGTGTTACATGACACCCCTAACCCAGCCGGGTGGCCCAGAAGGGCCCTGGGGTGTGCACAGGGCGTTGGTGCTCTTGGCTCTTGTGGAGGTGGAGCTCCTCCCTCTTCCATAACACTGGGATCTGGGGGGGGGTGCGGGGGGCGGGACAGAGAGCCCCACACTGAGAAATTCTCTCTTCCTGGGGTTTACAAGTGGCATGGTTCGTTGGGGGTCAAAGACCTCCGGCCGAGGGCTGCCCTTGGTCTCAGGGTTGGCACGGCTCTGCCCGTGATCCCTTACTCCTTCGGGCCTTTACAGGATGTGCCATCTTGATTTCCCATTTCCTTTTGTTGTCCCAAGTCCATCCAAGTGCACGGTGTGGAAAGACTGTGTGTGTGTTGGGGTGGGCAAGAGGATGAGGGAAGAGACACTACAGTACGAGGACGTCAGAGACAGCCAAAGCTGTGTGTATGTTGTGAGCCACAAATGCAAGGGGACTGCAGTGAGCCACCAAGGGCCCCGGCATACAAGTTATTTGCTCGAGGTTGAGGGCCAGGGCTGGGTTGCAGGGCAGCTCCATTTCCTGACTTTTTCACTCTACCCTTTGAGCTGTGGAGAAACACGGAGATAGGAAAGGGCAGTGGGGAGCGAGGCGGTAAGCCCTGGGGCTGGGGCTGGCTCCCCTGTATGCCTCCTGCTGCCCACCCCTCACCAACATGTCCTCAGTTAGCGGTGTCCCCGCTCCTGCCCCTCTTCATCTCCCCACACCTCCTTCACCCTGAGGCTCACTGCCTGTGTCTCCTTTCTTCTTGGCACAGTGCGCTCCCCTCCGGGTCTGGCCAAGACGCCCCTGTCTGCTCTCGGCCTGAAACCCCACAACCCAGCGGACATCCTGTTGCACCCTACAGGTGGTGAGTGACTCTAGCTGGAAGGGAGGTGGTGGGGGAGGCCAGAGGGAGAAGTAGGGGTTGGAGGACCCCTGTGGTCCTGGGCAGGGCCTCAGGATCTCATCAGAAAGTGCCCAGAGGTGACAGGTTCTCAGGACCCTTCTGGAAACAAGATGGCAGCCTGGCTTTGTGCCCACAATGCGGTCAGGCCTGAGTGGGGGCTCTCTGCAGGGCTTGAGCCTTCATGCCCATGGAAAGGTGGGGTCAGTACCACTCCCAGGGGCCTCTGACTTGGGGATTTGGAGGCTTGGCCTCCATTTCCTTGGAGCTGGTTAGCTCTCTGCCAGAAGCCTGGCTCCACCATCCCCCCAGTGTACTTGAGTACACGCACACATGGATGTACACCCCCCCCAGGTCACACCTCCCACTTCCTTACCACATCCTCCCTCCTCCCTGTGGGAAAGGGGCGAGTGGAGGGCCCTGGTCCCTGAGTGGCCATTTCTAGCAGTCCGAGCCCGGAAGGGTGTTCTCTAGACTCTGGTTTTAGGGTTGGGCTGGGGCCCTTGGGGCCAACTTGGCTTTTCTTCCTTAGTCACCAGAAGACTGATCCAGCCAGGTAGGAGGGCAATGACACACATGTGTGACCCACACGGACACGTGGCTGGCACAGCCTCCTGCCCGGAGGTGTCTGCATGGCCGGGGACACTGAGTCACCAGGGAGCAGAAGGCGCCTGGGGCTGCCTCTCACCAGCCAGCACCCTTCTGCTTGAGATGCAAGCCCCGGGTGCAGGGGCTGTGAGGGGGGCTGGCTTTGTCCCCGAGAGCAAGGCCCTCCTTAAACTGTGCGTCCTGAGCCCCCAGGGCCGTGTCAGGGTGGACCTTACCTCTTACCCTGGGCTCTTCTGCCCCGGCCTCACCCCTGCTTTCCTGCCTCCTTTCTCTCAGCAGATTGTCTTTCAGGAAATAATGTCTGGTAATCGCTCTCTCTCTCTCTCCTCCTGCTCTTCCTCTCCTCGTCCTCCTCACCTGCCTCTCTTTCCTGCATCTCCTTCCTCCTATCTCCCCTCTCATCTTCCCTCAGAGGAGAATGAGGGGAAGGTGGTGACCGAGCTTCCCAAAGGTAAGTGTGGCTTTGCTGTGGGGCCGCTTCCTGCTCTCTGGGTCTGGGCCTGGCTGTTCAGGAGGAGCTTGCTCAGGCTGGCTCAGGGGCAGCTCTCTCTCCTGACAGGTCTCAGATGACTGGCCACAGAGCCTTCTGGTCCCCACCCCCTGGTGATGAGCTGCTACCCTGGACGCTGCCTGAGTTCTGACGGGCGAGCTGGGCACAGGTTCAGGTGTCGCCAGCTCCAGGCGTCAGGGCAGTGGCACCTGGTGACAGTCTCCCCCTCCTGCCACCTCCTCCCCCAGCGGCACGTCCGCTAGCTTGCCTGGGCTGCAGCCAGCCCCCTCAGAGGGCAAAGGGACACACATTCTTCCACTGCCTGGGGCGCACTCCACGTGCATAGCTCGGAACAGGCTTTCTCAGCAGTCTTAGAGCCGAGAGCGGCCTCCCTGAAGCTCTTGCTTGGTTTCATATCAACACAGATGGTGGGAAGTCTGTCTTTCTGGGAGCTTGGATGCCTCTGGGGATCTTAGAACAGCGATGGATCCACTTGCACACGAATGCATCGGGATACCTATGCACATAATTTTGACAGTTTCAAGGAATTCACATGTCTGTGGATCAGCTTCACCCTCGATTTTGATGAACTCTGCATTGTACATTAAGCAGGGAAGGGGACTTGAGCAGAGAAGGGAAAGCAGAGAGGGTGCATAATCTGGTTGGAGGCCTTTAAGTAGTTATTAGGGACAGAATTCTAATGATGACTCAGAGCATCAGGTGAAATGAAGGGGGTGCTGGCCTAGGCTGTCTGTGTGTGTCTGTGGGCATCGGTGTCCCCCTCTCCTTCACCAGGGGGCCTTGGATGAGGGGGGGCACTGAGGTCCCTTCCAGCTCTGATACGTTAGATGTTCTGACTTCCCTCCTGGGCCCTGGTTCCATGTGACCTGGTTTCCTTAAAGGCTCTGTCTTTAAGGAAATAATAAATCTTTTAAAGATTTATTTATTTGAGAGCGAGAGAGAGCAGGTGCGTGCACGTGCATACAAGTGTGAGCAGGGGAGGGGCAGAGGGAGAGCATCTTCAAGCAGACTCCCTGCTGAGTGTGGAGCCCAGCGCGGGGCTTGATCCCAGGACCCATGAGATCGTGACCTGAGCTGAAACCAAGAGTCGGATGCTCTGCTGATGGAGCCTCCCAGGCACCCCTCTATCTGCTTTTCTGAAGCCCACTTTCCACTCACCACCTTGATTCCTGCCCCCCCCCCCAGTGGGCATGGGCTGTGCCCCTCTCAATCTGCCATCACCCTGGAAGATGGCTGCAGCTTCCCATAGGCTTCGCCCGCTTGGAGCCAGCCAGAGTTCGGGCAGCAGAACCAGGCTGCCTGGGCGTAGCAGATCGAGGCGGCCCCCAGCAACAGATCCCAGAGAGTGAGGAGCCCAGTGTGCTCTTGGCTGCTCCTCCCACCTCCCCCCAGCCTCCTACCCGGGGAAGGGGCTGTCCCCCCAGGCTGGCTGCTGGCTCCTGGCTCCTGACAGGGCAGTGAAGATGGGACAGGAGTCCAGAAATGCTGGGGCCCAGAGCCCACCCACAAACACTCTCCAGTGGGAGGGTCTGAGGGGAGATTATCCCACAGGCTGACAGGCCCTGGATGTCATGTTTCCTGCTTGGGGGTGACACTTCAGAGAAGTGAGTATTGACAGTTGTGAACCGAGACCTGCCTGTTTCACAAATGACTCTCTGCCTACAAGGCCCCAAGGCCTCTGGCCCTCTTCCATATGTCCTGGAGCCACAGAGTTTGGAGGGAAGATTCTTGCAGATGTGCTCAGCTACACCCACCATTTTCATGGATGTGGGGCTGAGACCCGTGCTGTGGGGGTCGGGGTCTGGAGTTTCTGCCCAAGGCCACAGTGAGGAGGCAGCAGGATCCAAACTGTCCTTACTGGTCTCCCGTCTCCTAGTCCAGGGGCTATTTCAAAGCCCTCCTCCTGCCTCCAGGCACCGTGCCCTGGGATTCCAGCGTGGGGGTCAGAATTGCTGTCTCGGTCTGGGCAGTGGGGCGGGAGAGGGGAAGGGAGCATGGCTGTGGGAAGCCCGTTTATTTTTCCTGACTCATGTACCACCTCCCGGGTCAGACTAAAGCACATTCTTTGCTGACCCTCTGAAGCTCTGTTTGATTTCCCTGCTGAGACTATGATGGGAAATTCTGAAAAAGCTGCCTGTGAGGAAAAATGATCAGAGACAGAATGAGCCAGCTAGAGGAAAAGCAGACTTTAAGGGAATCTGCTCTGGTCGAGGCACTGTGCTAAATGCTTGTCATGCATTCATTGTCTCATTCACTGATTCATTTATTTCATATTTTGTATGTCTACCATGTACTGTGCACTATGCCAGACTCTGGGAACGTAATGATAAGCAGTACTGTGATTCCTCATTTCATGGACCTTATGCATGAACAGGAGTCAGAATGAAATTCCTTGCAATTACATATTAAGATAGTGCTCCAAAGGGAAGGGATATAGTTTATGAGGTCTTCTAGCCAAGAACCTGACCTTGGCTGAAGAAGTAAGATGTGAGGGTGAGTGACATTAACTTGGTAAAACCGGGAGGTGAGAAGAGCATTCCATGTAGAGGAAAATCATGTACAAAGGCCCTGGGGTCAGAGAGAACTGCATGTTTTTTTTTTATTTTTCTAGGAACTTCAGAATCAGTGAGGCCGAGAGCAAGAGGGAGCTAGAGGCTGGAGCAAGGGGGAATGTGGTACAGATGAGGTTCAACAGGCAGGAGTGGAACCATGTGGGACCATTGTCACACCATCTTGTTTAACAATCACAGAAGCACCGAGAGGAAGGTGGTAGGAACCCCATTTTACCAATGAGGAGATGATGTTTAGGGCGGTTAAATGCCTTGTCTAAGGCCTAACAGTCAGTCAGGGGCATGGCTGAGAGTCAACGCCAGATCAGTGGAGGCTGCCCCTTTCCATGTGACTACACTGGGCACACCCCCTAAACAGTAGGGCTGGGGCCTGGGTAGTCTTCTCCATGAAGAGGGGTGAGGAAGAAAGCCTGCAGCAGTACAGACATGAGGTCAACATCAAGAATATCTTCCCAGTGGTGAAACGGGGAAGGAGAGTGTGGAAGCTTCTTTCCCCGAGGAATGGGAAAAGGGAACATCCAGGTGAGGTTCTGTTTGTCCAGATGACTAGGTGGGACAGATTTGGCATAAAGGAAGACTTTGGACTAGAAATGGCCCCTCTGGGGGATTGTTCCTGCTCGGAGATTCTTGGGGGTGGGTGTACTGTGGCATCTGGGATTCTAAGGCTGTGCTGTGCAATGCAGATTTATTGAGCGCCTATTTTGTGCCAGGTCTTGTACTAGGCACTGAGGGTATACCCACTACGGATATAAGGTGAGATACCCTGGTGAGGGCAGAGATGCCAACAAAGAACTCAGCATTCGGGAGAAGCGTGGAGCAGGGCTTGGAACAGGGTGTTAGGGGAGTTCAGAACTCCTGTGTATGGCCCAATCTAAAAGGCTTGAAATTCCAACTTTTGAGCTCCTGGACTAGAACTCGGGCGTTTCTTTACTTCCTCCCTCTTCCTCATGCACATGACTTCATTTTACTTGGGGTGGGCAGGCTCCTTCTCTCCAAGTAAAGAATGTTTCCTGGAGGCAGGAAATGCACTTCAGGGTGTGGGTGAAGAGCTGTCAGTGCCCTGGGCCTGGTGGGGCCCAAGTCACTCTTATGCTTTCAGGTGTTCTCAGCCGCCAACAGCCACTTAGAGTAAGTTTGAGCTCTGGAATGTTCTGTGTGAAGCGCCCTCTGGCCCCACCTCTCCTACTCTTCCCAACTCCTTTGGGTGGAGCTGCTCCAGGCAGGAGGAAAGTAGCAGGAGAGGGTTGGAGAGAAGGGTGGAGGGAGGCAGGAGCAGGTGTGGCTGGGGACAGAGTCAGGGACTGGGGGCCACTTAGAAACGCTGGTGTGGAACGGAGCAGGAAAGAACGAGAGGGAACTTCCCCATCTCTGTTGCTTGATCCTGGCTGGGCTGGTGAGTGGTCTCATTCCCCTTGTACGGTTGAGGAAACTGAGTCCCAGAAAGTTTCAGCTGCCTGTCCCAGGTCACCCCTCCAGGAATTGAAAGAAGGGGGAATCCCACAAGTCGTCATGTTGTCCTGTGGTTGGGAAGAGAGAAAAAGCCTAGGAATAGACAGAAAGAGGAGGTGTTTTTAATATGGTAACCGAGTCTGAAAACTTGGGAAAACTGAGTTTTTGGCCTTAAAGGTTGGTTTTGAACAGTTCTGGAGATGGACTCAAGAAAGGAAGTAATTTCCCAAAGGTCCCTCCTGTTTCGGGTTCATGAGAAACAGAGACGGAGACAGAGGACTTTGTTCATCTCTACCCCCGGGTGGGCCTGGTAGACCAGGAAGGGATGACAGATGGTCGCAGACTAGCCGAGCAGACATGAGGGTGGTCATGCACCTAGTGGGATCGGGGAAGGGAGGTGAACAGGTGAGGGCAGGGCCCGGTGGGCTGGGTCCCTGAAATCCTGCTAGGCCAGGAGCAAAGCCCTGAGGCTGGTCAGGGCTGGTTGGCCTCTGAGCTCAAGGACTATTTCCTACCATGTGGAAGAAGCAGTTGCTGCTTCTTCCTGGGGAGCAGTCCTGTCCCCCGAGTTCAGACAGAGTCCTCCCCTGGCTTTCTGTGGCTCATGATCCGGTGGCACTGGGGAAGGGGATGATGAGACTGATGCCTTACAAATGTGACCACCCTGGGCTTTCCGACTCCCCAGAATTTCTAATATGCCGTCCCATCGTCACCCTGTGCAAACTACAGGCAGGCCCCTGGCCTGGGGCTCAGGCTATTGCGTTTGGGCCGGGAGCGGTGAGTGGGGACGCAGCCTTGTCTAAGGGTGAGCAGGCCTGATGGGAGTCAGTGTCCACGGGTCCCAGGCATGGCTCTGTTCTGACTAGGGGACAGGGTGCTGAGGCCCACTTTATCTCAGTTTTACTGTTGGTGGAAGGGGTACGTGTACTTTTTTTTTTTTTTTTACAGGTGGGGTGTAGGGTACTGTGAATTGCTTACCCAGTGTTTGGGCCTAGGTCCTGGTAGGAAACAGATGGCTCATTCTATGGGGCAAGATAGTTTCATGGACTATTTAAAAGGTCTGGGTAAAGCAGCGACGGATGGTGAAGCACCCCCAAGTGATCCCTAGCAGGAGGAGGGAGCCATTCCCACGCCAGACCTGAAGAAAAGCAGAGAGCTGGAGGAGAGGATCCCTGACCGGACCTGTGGTCTTGCGTAGAGGGATGCAGCCACTGACACCTTGACCTTCTCTCCTCACTCTCCCAACTTCTGCCAGTCCCTCCCACTGGCTAAAGGCCAAAACCTTCCAGGGCCCTAGGACCTGAGGGTCCGGGTGATGCGGTCGGTACTGGCCTGCAGGGACGCAGAGCAGGCTGGACAGTGGACCGGGAAGACATCAACGAGTAGAAGAGCACAGACCAGGGATCATCCCCGGGGGGTGTAGCTCGAACTTCTGGAGTCAGCACGAATTCTAGGGAACGAGAAAAGGGAATGTGTGCCTCTCAGGTCCTAGTTATTATGCATCTCTGTGTGGGTGGGGCTGGAGGGTGAAGGTCAGGCATCTACTAGCTTATAGGATAGATGCATATCAGGGGCTCTCTGTGTGCCCCGGGGGTGTGTGGGGTGCTGTGAATATAGATCAGCAAAGAGCCTGGGGTGGCCGGGGAGCAGATGGATCCCTTGCTGTCTCTCCGTGGGAGAGAGGGGCTGCCGCCGAGTGTTGCAGGCATGCAGGTGAAGCCCAGAGCCTGGAAGGGTACAGGAGGAGTTTTCGGAGAGTGACCCAGAGCGGTGAGGGGTGGGAGGGGAACGTGGACTCTGGCTTTGCGTCTCCATTGCCATTTCTGTGGGCTCCTTGTCTCATGGCAAGGACACAGCTAGCCCCCCAAGACTAAACTGGCTCCCTGATTTTTAGCTGGCCGGTGTGTGCGCCGTGGGCGAGGGGGCAGACTCTGGGCCAGACTGCCTGCATTCCTGGGCCAACTCTGCCCCTTGGTACTCTGTGATGGGGTGAGCTACTTACATTCTCTGATTACTTACATTCTCCTACTTTCCTCGTGTAATTGTTTGCTATTTTTATCATTATTAATAGTTCTGGCCGACACGCTGGTGGACTGGGCAGCCGCCAGCTCTCGGCGTCCCCATGAGGCTCTGGCCCTTCTCTAGGCCACCAGGAGCCGGCATTGAGAGTCAGGAGACCATGGTTCTAGTATCTCTGGCCACTCATTGGTTGTGTGCTCTGGGGCAAATCTCTCTACGTCTCTGGGCCAAGAAGAGGGGTGAGATCAGGGGTCCGCAAACTGTGGCCAATTCTGGCCCACTGCCTCTTTTTGTAAAGAAAGTTTTATTGCAACACAGCCACACTCTTTTGTTTATGAATTATCTATGACGGCTTTTGTGCTCCCAAAGCAGAATTGGCTAGCTGCCACAGAGACCATCTCCTAAATGGTCTGAAATATTTACTATTGAATCTTTCATAAAACGTGTGCCTGCACCGGGCCAGAGGGTCTCTGCAGCTTCTTCGGGCTCCGGCCAGGCCCTTGGGCACGATGGACACAGAATCCATGCCTTTGGAGTGAAAGTGGGTGGCCTGAGGCTTCTGTGAGGTGGGTGGGTGGCCCGGGCTGGTTGGGTGGGGCTTTTGAGGAGGCCTCTGGTGAGGCTGACCTCTGCCTATATGGACGCCAGCTTCGGGCACCGAGGTGACTGGCTGTGCATCACCCCGTGCCCCATCCCCACACACTGTCACACAATCCTCGCCCGCGAAAGCTCCAGGGGCTGCCCAGGACAGCACACACCCTCGGGTTCTTCACTTTCTCAGGCAGGTTTCAGCAGATGCCCTGATTGGGGTCAGTGTGTGAGCTGGGCTCTGATCATGTCCCACTTGGGGCAGCCAGGGCGGTGCCAGGTTTGGAGGTGGTAGGAGCGTCGTCGATCCCTGATCGTGTCCCAGGAGAAGCCAAGAGTGGCCTGCTGCTTCTCTCTGTGTAGCCCTGAGAGTCTTTCAGGCCTGGCCTCAGAGGTCTGGGAGGAGGGTCAGGCAGACGCTGGCTGGGCATCAGATCTCCTCCTGGTCGTGCCTCCACACGTTGCACGCCCCAGGCCTCAGCATCCTTACCTGTAGAATGGCCTTTCTGGCCCTTGTCCCTCAACTCCCCGGGTTCTTAGGCTCTTCTAAACACCAGGCAGGGATAATGATGTCAGTCTCGGGAGGAATGCTAAGTGTGTCAGGCAAGGTGAGTGGGAGTGTCTTGGCATAGAAGGGGCTGGGCGTAACTCGCCGCCACAGGCCTGTTGCTAGGCCAGCAAGCCTGTTTCTGGATTCTGGGCGTGGGTGGAGCCCATGGGAAGCCTGGAGCTGTTCTGAACATGGGCAAGGCTGGCCCGGAGCTCCTGGTCCACAGCAGAGCAGACTCCAGCCGGGCCAGGGGGCACCTAGGAAGGAAAAAGCAGCTAGAAGGGGTGCCTGGCTGTAAGAGGGAAGATTCTATGATGACTATGTTCAGAGGCCAAGCTGGGGTCCATTTCTGGGAAGCTTCTGTGAGTGAGGCCCCGGTTAAAAGTTCTGTGGGGGCTCTCATGGCTTCTCTAAGACACTGGGAAGTGGGATGGGCGTGGGCTGGCTGGAACCCCAGAAGTGCCCTGTGCATGCTTGGCTGTCCTTTGGGGGCTGTCCCCACAGGCTGGGGAATTCCCTGACAGGTTGGGAGTGGTCTACACTGCACCCCCGTAGATCTCAGTCTCTCTTCTGCCCCCTTCCAGAGCCCCGGAGCTATGTGGAGTCGGTGGTGAGGACAGCAGTGGCTGGACCCCGAGCTCAGGACCCTGAGCCCAAGAGCTTTAGCGCCCCAGCTGCCCAGGCCTATGGCCACGAGACGCCCCTGAGGAACGGGACCCTGGGAGGCTCCTTTGTCTCCCCCAGCCCCCTCTCCACCAGCAGCCCCATACTCAGCGCTGACAGGTAAGTGGGGAGGAGGATCCAGGCCTGGATCTGCCTAGAGCATGGACGGGCAGAAATCACATCCAGATAGCTGTACCTTGGAAACCAGCCCTTCGCACTGAGAGAGCATCCCGGATTCCAAAGCCCACGGGGAGCATGAGGGTGGATGAGCTATAATTCCCAGGCTGAATTTGATCCCACTGGCCAGAACTGTGCTGGAAGGAATGGGAGCCACGGTGGTGAACCAGGCCTTCCCCCGAGTTCAAAACCTAGCAGCGGCAGTCACTGTGTAGTGAGTGCTTCTGGTGTGTCAGACACTTGGTTAAATGCTTTATCTGGTTATTTTATTTAATCCTCTCCAATCCGGAGAGGTAAGTACTCTTATGGTCCCACTTTTCAGAAGAGGAAACTGAGGCACAGGGAAGCCAAGTAGCTTGCTCAAGGTCCTGCAGCTAAACAGTAGCAGAAATAGGGTTCAGACCAAAGGCGTCTGGTTCTAGAGCCCACGTCTCTCCTCTCCCCTGGGCCTGTGTCTCTGTGCCTGCCCATCCCAGGCTGACAGTCAGATGTGCCCAGAGCAGACGTATAAGGGCTGGGAGCTCCCGGTGAGGGGCCGTTGTTTCTGGCTAGGGATGCAGAGAGGGTTTCTGGGGGCTGGAGGTATTTGTGGTGAGGCCAGAAGGATGAGCAGCTGTTGAAAGGTGGAGGAGGAGGAGGGAACTGGCATTCTAGAAGGAACAGCACAACCAGGGTAGAGGGCTGGGGTGTGGACCTATTGGTGCCGTGGGGCTGAGGGCACCCAACTACAGGGGGGGAGGTGGATGGGGCCCAGAAACTCTCCAGCCACCCCCTCCTATTGTCACAGGCCAGGCCCGGTGCAGAGTTTGCTGTGTGCCCTAGGCCCTTGGCCCAGCGCAGTGTGCCCCTCCCAGGTCAGAGTTGGGGTGGCCTGGTGAGCAGAGGCTGTGTTCTTCTGCGTTCTAAGAATTCGAGAACCTCAAGCTGAGCATGCACCCCCAGTGCATCTCGCCCCCTCCCCAGCCTCTGGACAGAGCAGATGGCTGCTTGGGAAGCAGGGAAGTCTGCTTGTGGGCAGAAGGTGAATTCTTCCTTTAAAGGAAGGGGGATTTTCCTAACCTGGCTAGCCACTGCTGCTCCTGTTGAGGGAACCCTAACCTTAGGAGGTTTTCACTGTTTCTCACTCAAATTCCTCCTGCTGTGGAGTTGGCTCTTTTCAGGGCTCAGGAAGCTAGCATTTCCCTGGTGGAATTAATCTTCCAGAACTCCATGTCAGTGGCCCCTACCCCACCCTGCTCCGCCTGACACATCCTCCCATTCCTGAGTCCATGGTATTCTGTCCCAGGAATAGCATTCCACTCTAGCTCCTTGTGGGATTTGAGGTAGACTTTTTCTTGGCCTGGCCCATGACCTGCTTCCTGCCCTTGGCTCTTGCCCGGCTCCCCACCTCATGTCCCCCAGCGACCTGAGCTTATCCAACCTGGCCTCGAGACTCCTTCCAGTCTGTAGCTCCAGGCTTTGGCCCATCGTCTTGTGTAAGGACCACCCCCTCCACCTCTGCCCCCTGCCCAGGGGCTCCTGCTGCCGAGCCCCCCTGCTATCTCCCTGCAGCCACAGCTTAGGCAGGGTCCCTGTCAACCTTTGCCTCTCCTACCATATCATCAACGGGTAGGAGTTTGGGTCTGGAAGGAATCAGCGTTATCTAACCCAGACCCCCTCGTTCTCCACATGAGGAAAGTTGAACAGGTTTCCAGCATCTGGGTTTCCCAGCTGTTGGGCCATTGCATTGCACGGCTGTACAGACTTGCACAAAATTTCAGGGGAGGATCTGTGATTGTGGCTATTTCCCCAGGTACAGCCCCCTCTGAACTGAATTTTATTGGAGTCTTAGAATGGGGAGTGACCTCTGAGCTCATCTAATCTAACCTCCCAAAGGAGGAGATCCCCCGGCCACAGCATTCAGGTCCAGAAGTTGGTCAGCTTCTGCTTAAATACTGCTAACGACGGGAGTCTCATTACTATGAGAGGCAGCTTGCTAAATTGGTGGCAGATCCAATGGCTGGAAAGCAGACCTTGCAGTAAGCTGAAATCTCCTTCTGTGAGACTTGTTGTCTGCCTTTTGGAGCTATCCAGGAATGAAAGCCCAATTCCGGCACTCTCCGTTTCCAAAGACGATAATAGCATTCTGGGAAAAGTGAGTCAAGGCGGGATACTCCCAGTAGGAACAGGAGCCAGGTGGTTTGACCCCTCCCTGGTGTTCTGTTTCGGTGATGTTGGAGGTGACATTAGGCTATCTTCAGTTTCCATAGAGGAGACCCCCCTGTTTTGACTTGTGGTTTAGGAGTCAACAAGGGGCAGTGAAGGAAACATGGGCTTTGAAATCAGATGCAATTTGAGTTAGAACCCTGGTATTTTACTGTGGGTTGTGAGCTTAGCGCTTTGCCTCTCTGAGCCTCCGTCTCTTCTGCTGGTTCCATAGGGTGACGTGCAAAAGTCGTGACATTCCAGCAAACACGCCAGTAGAGCTCTTGCTGTTGTTACTAGCGGTGGCGGGGAGGGCTGCATGCTCAAGGAGAGCCTGTCCTTCACCTTGGCATCTTACCTTGCCCCCTCTCTTTCTAGCACTTCAGTGGGGAGTTTCCCATCCGGGGAAAGCAGTGACCAGGGCCCCCGGACACCCACCCAGCCTTTGCTGGATTCGGGCTTCCGTTCCGGCAGCCTGGGCCAGCCCAGCCCTTCGGCACAGAGAAGCTACCAGAGCTCTTCTCCTCTCCCACCTGCGGGCAGCAGCTACAGCAACCCCGACTACTCACTTCAGCCGTTCAGCGCCCCGGAAAGCCAGGCGCGGTCTCAGTTCACTGTGGCCGGTGTCCACACGGTGCCTGGGAGCCCTCAGGCTTGCCACAGGACCGTGGGCACCAACACCCCCCCCAGTCCTGGCTTTGGCCGCCGGGCCATCAACCCCAGCATGGCTGCCCCTGGTAGTCCCAGTCTGAGCCACCGCCAGGTGATGGGTCCAGCAGGAACTGGTTTCCACGGTAGCACGGTCTCCAGCCCCCAGGGCAGTGCAGCGACCACTCCGGGAAGCCCCAGCCTGGGCCGGCATCCCGGGGCCCACCAGGTTTCAGGCCTCCACAGCAGTGTGGCCACAACTCCAGGAAGCCCCAGCCTGGGCCGGCACCCTGGGGCGCACCAAGGCAGCCTGGCCTCTGGTCTCCATGGCAATGCGATAGCCAGCCCTGGGAGCCCCAGCATGGGCCGACACCTGGCAGGGTCTGGATCTGTGGTTCCTGGCAGCCCCAGCCTGGACCGGCACGTGGCCTGCGGTGGCTACTCCACCCCCGAGGACCCGAGACCCACGCTGTCCCGGCAGAGCAGTGCCTCCGGCTACCAGGCTCCCTCCACGCCCTCCTTCCCTGTGTCCCCTGCCTACTACCCAGGCCTGAGCAGCCCTGCCACCTCCCCATCGCCCGATTCGGCTGCCTTCCGGCAAGGGAGCCCCACACCAGCCTTGCCCGAGAAGCGGAGGATGTCCGTGGGAGACCGAGCGGGCAGCCTCCCCAACTACGCCACCGTCAATGGGAAGGTGTCCTCCTCGCCTGTGGCCAGTGGCATGTCCAGTCCCAGCGGGGGCAGCACCGTCTCCTTCTCGCACACCCTGCCCGACTTTTCCAAGTACTCCATGCCAGGTGAGTCCCTCCTTCCGCTCCCGCCTCCACTTTGACAGATCGTCTGCTGGTTAGGGTATCTGTCTCCGCCTCTGCTCTGCTGTCTCTTTGGCACACAATCTTGAGCAATCACTGACTTCTCGGCCTCAGTCTCCTTGTCTGTATAATGGGAGTTGGAGGTGTCCTCAAAGTAAGTGTGCTGGGTGTGGGGGCAGTGATGAGGATGTGGGTGCCCATGAGGATGATGAAGAGGAGGAGAATAGTGATGACCTTACTGGGAACGATGATCATCACCACCAGCCTAGCTTCTGCCCCTTGTTGAGCACATGCTGTGTGCCATGCTCTGAGCCAGGCATGAGCTCTTTAATCTGCATGGCTGTCTGACACAGTGGGTATTATCGCCCCTGTTTTATTTTATTGTATTGTATTGTATTGTATTTTATAAAATTTTACTACTTATTTGAGAGAGAGAGAACACGAGCAGGGGTAGGGAGAGAGGGAGAGGGAGAAGCAGGCTCTCCTCTGAGCAGGGAGCCCTATGTGTGACTCAATCCCAGGACCCTGGGATCATGACCTGAGCCGAAGGCAGATGCTTAACTGACTGAGCCACCTAGGCGCCCCCTTATGACCCCCTGTTTATGCAGGAGCAAACTGAGGCTTAGAGAGACTCAGTCATTTGTCCAGGGCTACACACTTAATAAATGGCTTCTGATCTAGGCCCACGTACCCTAAAGCTGGTGCTCTTAAAGCATGATTAGAGTTGTCTTATCATGTTTCCATACTTGTGATTTAGCATCACCTTGAAAATCTGCCTTCCAAACCTGGACCTCCTATGTTTGGCTGCCCACAGCACTCTGTCCCCACCTTTTGATCCCACTGCGCACACATCACTAATAACAGATCAGGCAGCTGGCTGCACTGTGGGCCGAGGCTGGGGGTTGGGCACGTTCCCCGGAATCTGGTTCGTGACAGTGAACCGGCCCGGCTTCACAGAAGCCCATGTGTGTTCACACACTGAATTCTTCACTCATCACCAGAACTTGGCATTTTTTGCCTCCGTGTAGAGGGCTCATTATCTAAACACAACAGTCAAGGCCTCAGCTGATCTGCAGCCTCTCAGCCAGACCTCAAATGTGACTATTGCCGAGTGGTCCCGGAGCTCTGGGGCATTTGAGGACGATTTAGAATGTTTTGGGCAGCCTGGGGTGGGCCCCAGCTGCCTAGATGCTCAGTGTGACTTGCCCGGGTCCTGCCCTGAGCCTGCCAACCTACAGCGACCCTGCATGCCCCTGCTTCCTGCTGCCCACCAGAGACATCTGGTTCCCAGCCCCTCTCCTTGGAGTATGGAAAACTTCTAGTAGTTGGGACATTTCCTGTTTCCCACCATCTTCCCTGCTTAAAATAGCCATTGGAGTCAACACAGGAAGGCACATGGGGCTCTAGCCGCCTCTGACAGCTCATTAGGCCCCAGCAGCAGTGGGGGCCCGGGGCTTCAGAGCAGAGAGAGAGGCAGCAAGGAGCACTTATGGCCCAGCTGCCTAGCCCAGAGGCCCCCCTCCGTGCACAGCTGCCAGGAAAGGGGGCCGGCCTACCCCCTTGCTGTCCTCCGGACACTGGTCCCAGGGCCGAGCACAGTGTAACTGACAAGTCAAAATGGACCAAGCGCTGGACACACAGTCTAACTCGTGTCTCGGGTCCGTGCCGTCAGCTTCACAGCATTAACACAAGCTCCCTCTGTCCCAGCTTCTCTCTGAAGAAAGGAGAGCAAAGAAACATGTGCAGTTGGAATCTTCCTTTCTTCCTCTTCCCCCAACCCCCCTTTTGTTTCTTTGGTGCCAAAAGATGAAGGAAGAACTTGGAGAGTGAGGGCCACACATCCTAACACCCAGACAAGGAAGAGAAGGTGTAGCCAGCATGGAATTGGCGGCTGTGTTTCCTTACCTGGGAAGGTCTTACAGGAGCCTTTCTGAGAACCACCTGTGCCATTTGGGTAGCCTCTCCCTCTCTGAGCCTCACTTCCCTCATTTGTAAAGTTAAGTGGTTGGACTGGATGCTCTCCGAGCATCTTCCTGAACCTAGTGCTCCATAAGGCATCTCTGGTCTGCAGAGGGTCTGGGTGAGGGTCATTTGCCAGGGAAGTGGGGTAGGTATATGACTCAGAGTAGATAGCCTCTAGGGCACCCCCTCCTCTGTTCCAGGGCAGGTCCTCCTCTGTTCCAGGGCAGGGCTGAATTTTTGTGTGTGTGACACAGAACACGGGCTCTCCGTATAGGGCATTAGGGGGTGGGCAGGGGGGTTTGGGGAGAAGTGATGGGAATGTATCTTTCTTCCCTCAACTTTGAGGTTGTTTTGACACAGTTGGGAAATCCATCTTGTGGTAAAAGAGGCCAGAAGGTGGGGTGCCTTAGCCTGTGGGAGAGAAGCTGCAGGAAGGGTTTAGTCCAAATCTTCTGGGAAAAGGAGGGAACAGGGTGAAGGAGGGGATTTCCTCAGCTCTGTGAGATTTGCTGTGCCAGGCTCTTCGACAGGAGAGCAGCTCCATGATGTGCGACAGTTGGCGGGAATTGGGAAGGATGGGCAGGCTGCTCGAGGTCCCTTCCAGCAGTGAGGACGCTGCCTTCCTGTGCTAGTTTTCTATGACCACCATGACAAAGTACCACCCACGTGGTGGCTCAAGACGACAGAATTTAAGCCTTCCTGGGCTGGAGGCTAGAAGTCCAAAATTAAGGTTTTGGCAGGGTTGGTTCCTTCTGGAGGCTCGAGGGGGAGTCTGTTCCAGGCCTCCCTCTTAGCTTCTCGTGGTGGCTGCCAATCCTTGGTGTCCCTTGGCTTGTAAATGCATCCCTCGGTCTCTACCTCCGTCTTCATGACCCTCCCCACATGTCTCTCTGTCTCTTCCCCTCTTCGGATAAGGACATCAGTCATATTGGATTGGGGCCCACTCTAATCCAGCACGACTTCATCTTACCTTAATGACATCTGCAGAGACCCTGTTTCCAAATAAGGTCACATTCACAGGTACCCGTGGTTAGGGCTCCAACAGACCTTCTTGGGGGGCTATAATTCAACTCCTAACACTGTTTCTCTCTCTTCATCTCTCTTTAGACAACAGCCCCGAGACCCGGGCTAAAGTGAAGTTTGTCCAGGACACTTCCAAGTATTGGTACAAGCCTGAGATCTCCAGAGAGCAGGGTGAGTCCTGGGTGCCACCGAGCGTCCTGTGGTCCGTCAGAGGTCACAGCTGGCTGCCACCCACCATGTCTTCCTCGGGCAAGAACACAAGCAGACTCACTCCTCTTTGCCGTATGTGGTGGTCACACAGAGGGGCCGGGATCAAGGTTAGATCGTAAGAGGCACCTCCCCAGGCTGAAGTGTGGGAGGACAGAAGCAGGGTTTGTAGACCTATGAAGGGTCCTTAAAAGCAGCCAAGTCTGGATTTGCCAAGCACAGTAAAAGGCCAGCCAAGGTAATAGCAAATCTTAGCCCTCTGTCTACGTGACGTGGGAGACTTTTGCACATTTTACGGAAACAACAAAGTTGGGATCGTGGGGCTGGAGATGAGGCCCACCTCAGGCCCCCAAGGCGGGTCCGTGCGGATGTAAGGCAGGCGTTGGCAATGGGCTTGAATCCGGACTGCTGCCTGTGTGTAACTATGGCTTTAGTGGAACGCACCGTGTCGATTCGCTTCTGTATTATGCGGCTGCTTTGGGTCTGCCGTGGCGGGGCCTGGTCCTCACAGTAGAGGCTGCACGGCCTGTGGAGCCTGAAATATCTACTACCCGGCCATTCATAAAAGACGCTTGCTTACTCTAGCAGAGGAGGACCCTTAGGAGTGTTTAAATTCTAACTAAAGAACGAGATCCGATGGGCCTGGTGAGTCTTAAATAAGGCCAGGGCCATCACCATCTTCTTGCCTCTTCTCTCCTCATCTGCTTCCAACCCCAGCCATCACACTCCTCAAGGACCAGGAGCCAGGGGCCTTCATCATCCGCGACAGCCATTCCTTCCGAGGGGCCTACGGGCTGGCCATGAAGGTGTCTTCTCCCCCTCCGACCATTATGCAGCAGAATAAAAAAGGTAGCCCCACGCCCCTCGAGCAGGGCTTCCGGACCATGTGCTCTGTCCCGTGTCCTCAGAGCCTGAGGTGCCCAAGGACCCTGAGAGCAGCAGGGGAGCTGGTCCCCGCTGAGTCAGACTCTTCAGGAGGACGAGTCCTGGGCCTGGTGATGGTTGGGGTCAGAGCGCAGGGAAGCAGGATTATGGGGACCCTGTCGTTGTGTTTGCTTGAGCAGTGGTCTCTCCATTCCGGGGGTTCTGGCCGTACTACCCGTCCCACCCAGAGCCACACGTGGGGAAGGGATGGAGTGCCATTGGCAGGTGCTGGGTAGGGCACCACGAAAAGTGCTCCATCCTCCCGTCTTTCTCTTCATCCAGGGGACATGACCCACGAGCTGGTGAGACATTTCCTGATCGAGACCGGCCCCAGAGGAGTCAAGCTCAAGGGGTGCCCCAATGAGCCAAACTTCGGTGAGCTGTCCCCCGCCTCCACAGCCTACCCGCAGAGTCTCAGGCAGTCCCCGGTCCCCTGAACTGTGGCTGCTTCTCTCTGCCACATGCTTTTCTGCATTTGTCCCACCCCACTGAAATGCATTACCATTAGAATCTGAATAACAACCATAACAACTGCCTATATCGACCACCCCCTACGATGTGAAAGTCACCATCTGGGAACCTTATATTACTTCTGGTCTCATAACAGTCCTGCATGGCAGGACTAAGCTAGACTTACCCAAGGAACACAGAGCTAATAAGTGACTGAGCTGGGATTTGATCCCACGATTCTCTGATACTTCGGCTGCACCGTCCTGAGAGGGGCCCTAGCAGCCGGAAGGACTAAGGAGAGATGTTGGGAGGAATTTTCTAGAAAAGAAACCTTGTGGCTGCTGGAGGGAGCCTCTGGAACCTTCTCCCTGAGATCTTGCTAACAAAGATGGGGTGGATTTTCAGCTTCATTGGTGGGATGAGGGAGAGGTGATAAAGAAGCTGGAGATTACGGATAGCGGGGTGGGGTGTCTGGGCTCCTCAGTGCCCTGGCCCGCTCCCAGGGACACTGGTCCTGATGTGCTATCTCCTCCCACAGGGTCTCTCTCTGCCCTGGTCTACCAGCATTCCATCATTCCACTGGCTCTGCCCTGTAAGCTGGTCATTCCAAACCGAGGTAGGAACGTGAGACTCCTTGCTTTCCAAGTACATCTTTGAGCTGGCCTCCTCCTTGTGTCAGCTCAGCCAGCCACTCCAGAACACGGGCCAGTGTTGGAGGACACAGGTCTTTTTGCCAATCCGGGGAAATTCAAGACTACTCTCCTTCCCCCCACCCTGTACCCACCCATTAAAAAAAAGAAGGAAAAGTTCTTTAAAAAACTTAACTCTAGGAACACACATAATTGACTTGCCAGATTGTTCTGGAAAATTCTCTGGTGGCTTTAAGGAATTCTTTCATGAATCTTCAGAATAAGCCCAGGGGAGGCACTAGAAGTAGGAGACAGTGATGGGGAGGAGCGTGTGTGGAGGATGAGATGGACGTCGGTGGGCGGGGTTGAGGGAAGGGGAAGGGGAAGGGGAAGGCAGATTTAGGTCGTGGGGAGTGTTGCCCAGGGGTTGGAGGTTGGTGTGAGTAAAGAGGAGGGAGTGCACTCAGAGGAAGAGGTGGCTGTGCGCCTCATGGCGTGGGAAGGAAACGGAGCCAAGATGTCCCTGGAGTTTCCAGTCCGCTTGGCTGTGAGGGTGTTCTCTGAGGGGATGCAGAACTGATGGGAAGAGCAAGGCCTGTTGACTGTGGGAAGTATAAATGGAACCTGAGAGCCTCAGGACATATAGGTGAGAATTTGAGGGGGACCCTGGGCCCAGCGAAGGAGAGTTTAGCCTCTCTTAGAGAAGTATTCCAGCTTTGGAGGACGGCAGATGGACATCCAAAACCCTTCACACTATAGGCTTCTGCCACCCGGCCCCACATACGAGGCCCACGTGAGGGGGATTATGCTCAGCCCTGACCTCGAGGTCTAGGAACTGGAACCTGGGTCCCTTCTTCCCATCCTCTCTGTTTAAAACTAGGATATTCAGAAGTGTCTCTGGGACTTTCTTCCAGTTTCTCTTGGAGCTCCTGGGGTTATGCCCACACACAAAATCCCCAATATTATTTGATAATTTCTATATATCCAACTCAATTCATTGGATTATTAATGATAATTGACCAACGTTATTAGTTTAAAAGTTCAAATACAACTTAAGTAGCATTATTAACCCTGCAATTTGGACACCAACTAAATTATAGTTCTATGAAATTTATGAAAGTAGTTTAGCGATTATAAAACTGTTTGATATTTACGTTGTATAAAACAGTGCTTCTCAAACTTCTCAAAGTATGGTTCCCAGACCCGCTGTATTGGCACCCCAGGGAACTTGCTAAAAATGCAAATACTCTCAAGCCCCACCTACTCAGAAACTCTGGGGTGGGGCTCAGCAATCTGTGTTTTAAAAAGCCTGCACTCCAAAGTCTGAGAAACACTGGTACAGACAATACTCAGTTCTTATTAATATTAAAATTGTAGTTGTGCTGCATTAAGGGCTTGATGATGTAGGGCATTCATTGATCTGCACAAAGACACATCCATGCACAATGACAACAGTGACATCCATTGCCACTTGAAGACCTGCTTTATGCCAAGCACTGGGCTCGTGCTGTACGGGGGTAGGGCGCATCTCAAAGCCCCAACAAAATGGGTACGATTGCATCTCCATTTTATAGATACTTGGCAGATGCTGGGGCGAGGCTCTGAGCCCCACACTGTTGGACCCCAGAGCTCTCAACCCGTGTGCTGCACACTTACAGTCATCGTTGGAATGTTAAGCCTGGACACACACATGCCAACTGCTGGGGCCTGTTATGAAAAGCAGTATCCGTTGCACAAAGTATTTGCAGAGCTTGCCTGAGGCCCAGCCAAACGCGTGCTGCTTTCCAGCTCTAGAGTTTTAATTACCAGCTGAATTAAATTTTTGTCTCAGACCCCACAGATGAATCGAAAGATAGCTCGGGCCCTGCCAACTCCACCACTGATCTGCTGAAGCAAGGGGCAGGTGAGTGGCCACCCCAGACCGGGTCCCCGCCCAGGCCTCTCCTCTTGCCTGCCCTGTCCCCTCCTGCAGACCCAAATATCTCTGGGCAGTCCACATTTCTCTGTGCGGATGCCTGGCCGGAGGCCGGCCTAAAATTCATCAACTCCTTCTCCCCCGAGAGATGACTTGGTGTGTCATCCCCACCCACTCTGGCCCCCCTGACTCCTCTTTGGGTGGGTTTATTCCAGCCTGCAACGTGCTCTTCGTCAACTCTGTGGACATGGAGTCACTCACTGGGCCACAGGCCATCTCCAAAGCTACTTCTGAGACACTGGCTGCTGACCCCACACCAGCTGCCACCATTGTTCACTTCAAAGTTTCTGCACAGGGAATTACACTGACTGACAACCAGAGAAAGTAAGGCTTTTCTACTTGCTTCCATATTGGGCTCTCTCCTTGTGACCCATCTATCCATCTACTTACCCACCCACTGACCGTTCGTTCCTTGTACTCATCTTCCACCCACCCACCCACCCATCCACCTACCCACCCATCATCCAGCTATCCACCTGCCCACTCATCCAGCCACCTATCCACTCTTTGACGCATGCATCCATTCTTCCACTCAACCACCCATCTATCCTTCCACCCAACTACCCATCCATCCTTCCATCCTTCCATCCATCCATCCATCCATCCATCCATCCATCCATCCATCCTTCCCCCCAACCACCCATCCATCCACCTACTCATCCACTCACCAATTGGTTCGCTCATTCCTGCATCCGTTCATCCTCCATTTATCCTCCTCCACCCGTTTATCCCATCATCCCATTCATCCAACCATCCTTCCACCCATCCATCCACCCATCCTTCCATCCATCCATCCTTCCATCCACCCATCCACCCATCCTTCCATCCACCCATCC